CTTACATTCTTGCGTATGGATATAGTTTCAGTTATTGTAATAATCTTTTTTCCGGGGATTTCATTCTCATAATCCTTGAACCCTCCTAATTGACTTTTCTGAATCTTTTCGAGTATACAAATGCCCTTTCTCGTATATGGGGGCAGGATATATTTTAAATAAGATTTTAGTAAGCCATCATATATACGAAAGAGGTGGAATTACGTTTCTGGGTTTGGTGTTGGTAATCCTAATCTATTTGATATTTCTCCGAGAGAAAAGGGAGACCGGAAAATAAGCTTTCTTTCGCAATGCCTCACAGTGCTGAGTTTTTTCTTTCCTATTTAAATTAAAAGTTTTCCTCAACATCCTGTCTCTCTAATTCCGTTAAATATGCTTCGTACGTGGTATTTCTATTCCCTGAGAACAAATATGTCAAATGGTGTTATATTGCTTGATGTTCTTTTGGTAACTACAGTATGAAGGAAGATGTGCGAAATAAATAAGTGTTTTGAAGAGTCCAATTAAAATGCAAGTGTTAAATTAAAAAAAAAAAATAAATTAGAATAATATAACATTCTAAACACAAATATTCAATATAAACTAAGGTAACAATAAAGCGGTAAATAGTGAAGATACAACTTCTAATCATCACAGTCGATAAAACGTAATTTTGAATAGCATCGAATAAATATATGCATTTATTTATAATGAAATATATATGCTACCGTGAAAGACCGAAATTGGAGAATGTCGACTTTCACCGGAGAATGTCAGCATTCACCAAATAAGTCGGTGAAAGATCGAATATTGCATTACATTCTGGTACATTCGGGCCCTCACCGGTGTATGTCGACAATCACAGATATGCTCTGGTGTAGGTCGAAAGGAGAGAAGTATATGTGCACGCTGTCATTGTAAAAGAAAGTGTTCCACAAATAAATACAGTTGTAAAAGCAAGGGCCTCTTGTGCAATTCAAAGTGTCATAATAGTTTAAATTGTTGCAATAAATAAGATTTGAATCATATAATTTAGTAAGTTTTTAACTTCTCTTATTTTCCTTTCTCATTTTCAGTGTACTGTGAGTTTTAAGTTCTTATGTTCTTGAGTTCTTATTTTAAGTCGATGATGCGTTTTTTTGGCAACTGAATGACGAAGAAGAAAATATAATATTCTTATTTGTTCAACATTCACCATTAGTACATGGCTAATGTCAACATTTACCGCTGTAAGTCAGAAATAAAGAGTATTTGGAAAATATTTCGGACATGCACCAAGCGACTATGTGAAAGTCGACATACACAGGTGAAAGTCTACATTTTCCAGATTCAGTGTTTCACCGTAACATATGTTTATGTATATTATAGTTGAATATGTATGTATTATTATTAAATACATAAATTGAATATGTATGTATTATTTGAATGCCTTGGAATAATTTTCTTTAAAAGAATTTAATTTTTCAGCATAGTAAATTTAATCGTAAAACATTAAATTAGGTAAAAAATTATGAACTCGTTGAAAGATATTGAACTATAGTTTATCAAAACAGATTTTAAGATTGAATTACTCAATGGTAATTATTTATTACTTCAAAATGTATTACTGAATTTATTATCAGAACTATTTTTTACTTTTCCATTCTACTTCGCCTTTCTTCAAAAACATAATTGCATCTGGCATACTTACGAATTTGACAAGAATATTTTTTTTAGTAATTGTGAGGATATCTTAAGGAACAGACCGTAGAGGAGGTCGATTGCATTGAAATTCACTTCACATATTCAATAACTTTAACCTTCTAAAGGCGGAAATCATTTATTCGCTTTTGCTAATAGAAAAGGCAAAAGAACTAGAATTTTCAAATAGTGCAAAAGTTTAGTAAAAAAATTTTGCCATATATTTGAAAGCTTCAAAAAGCAGTTTATAGAATATCATTCTTACCAATCTCTCAACATGAAGAATTCGATCAAAAGAAGAAATGTTCTTGTTACGTAATTCCAGATGAACATTCAGTGTAGGATAGCTATGTATTCTTACATAACAACCCTAAAGTAAGGGTTTTTCATTCACTTCTGTTAAACATTTTTTGTTAAGAGGCATATTTTCTGGACTTTCCTTACATTTTTTGTGAAAACTAGGGTATCTCAACCAATCTTAAACAGTAGTTCAGCCTGCATCATCGAATTAAAGCCCCGTTCGCATGCAACGCTCCTTCGCACAGCTGCCGTTAGGGGATAAAAAGGAGGCATGAAAGAGTTTTGTCTTTAAGACCCGTTCAGAAGACCACCGTCTTCCTTCCCCTTTACACCTAAGCCTCTGTGAACAATCACGTCTCCGAATTGGCAGATTTCTAATACTGTTTACACATTTTTAACGCTGTTTACTGTTGTTAATTTTGTAATCTGTACTTTCGCAACTGGTACCTGAAATTTCGTAATGGCTCCTGAAAAATATATGCTTTTTAATTATTAATATTATTATTTTATAAGCTGTTATTTAGTTTACTCTTGGTGCTTGTCACTATGGTTAAAAGATGGTCATGGATTTTTAAACTGCTTCCCAATAAGATATAGAGCTCAAACTTTGTACATGAAACACTGCTTGTGGATGTGGTGCAACGTTTTTGATTTTTAGAGGATTAGATTTTTTTTTTCAAATTTAAAGTTGAAACGACGTTCTGCAAATATTAACAAATAAACTGAGAATTTCAGAAAATTACAGTTTGCACCATAACACACTGTGGAGGGAAAAAATAAATGAAAGTTTTAGGGTAATTTTTTTTAAAAATATTTTGGGACAACTTTTGAAAATCGTTCATATTTTTAGACTTTTTGACGCATATTAGTTTTAAAATTTCATATCTAAAAATATATCGGCTACAAACTTCCGTCGTTTTCACAGCTTATAAAACAAACTTTTCGCATTTAAAAAAATGATAAAGGAAATTAATTGGAAGATTTTTTTTTACTTTTTTGAAAGATATGCAATGACGCAGAATGGGAAATATTGGTTCTTCTTGGGCATCAATTCAAAAACATCGGTTTCAATAGTAATAATCTCATTATACCTACACTTTTTTATGACATTATAAATAATGTCATAACTATATAAGTTGTTATTGTTTCCAGTTGTTACTTCAGCGCGAGATTGGAGATATTTCTGAGTTAACTTTCTCTTAAGATGCATTTTGCATTCCGTTGTGTTTAACGTTCTTATTAGATTGAAGCATAACTACTGATTATACTTAGTGATATTCTAAACACTTGTACGAGTATTTCTGTGGAAAATTCCAGAATTTTGAAGTGTTTATATTCATAAAATAAATTTAATTAAGCTATCATCGGATTTGAGTGCAATGACAATCATTTACGAACTATTATCAATCTATTACAAACCCGTACGCACGCAATAATATTATAATTAATTGATGTATTAAAATTGTTTTGAACGTCTTTTACAAAACAAAAACAGGTAAAGAAAAATTCTGCTTGCGTTTTCTGAGTTTTTGCAATTTTTCTGGACACATAAGGTTTTAATAAAAGGTTTGTAATTTATGTTTATATTTATCAATTGAATAAATAGCACTAGGTTTGATTTATATACATATGTGTGTATTGAAATTCAGTAATACAATTTTAAAGATTTGAAATGATTAAATGTCTATTTAGACAGTTAAGAAACCTTTTGCATTTTTTTTTCAATATATCCTTTTACTTAAAGTCCTAAAACATATACAGGTATGGACTAAATTTTTTATTATGTTTACTGCTTACTTAAAATTATATACTTTATAGAAACAAGAATGAGTTTTGCAAAATACTGAAAGAAAAAATTATTTGAAATAAAAATGTGACTGAGATCATATTTGTTTTAAAGATTTTAGATAAAAGGTTTTTTTTTTTTTTTTTTTTTTTTTTTTTTTTTCAAATCAGAAACTAATGCATTAATTGCAAAATCATTCCTTGAAGTTACTAAGAACTTCAAGGAATTTGTTCTAATAAATACAATAAAAAAATTGGGGGGGGGGAGACATTGAAAAATTGTAGGAGAAGAAAAGACATTTTAATTGTAAAAGTTTTCTTCAAAAATTTAATTAAAAAAATACTAGCAAAAACTTTTTTTTCAGCTTAAATTATTTGTCTCACCAAACTATTTAATAATATTCATAAAAAGTAGATGAAAATTGCTTAAATTTAAAAAAAAAAAAAAAAAAAATTCAAAAGGTACCGAGTCCCTTGTTCGCGTTGAAGCCGATATGCACTTGTCTTAACTTTAGTTTTAATTTGAACGATATTTCTGGAAATACCTAGCATCAGATAACCTTGTCTGTATTTGTCTATAATTTCTGTATCTTGTACAGTTCTATCTAATTTTTGGGGGCATGCTATCACATCCCCAGACATCTATCAGCGCGACTGTTTCGCTGACAGTCCAGCAAGCAGTAACTAAAATTATGTGAACCGCGCAGTATAGTATGGAAAACCTCCCTATTTGCCCTGCTCCCGAGAGGTAAGGAACATTCAACCAAGTTTTACCTCCAATTCGGCGAGGCAGTTAATGCTTGTCCCCCGTGAACGGGACACGTTTGGAAGAACCGGTTTTCGCTACCGGTCGAATCTGCTGTTGTGAACGCAACATCTAATGAAAATATAAAACGCATCATATTAGGGATTTGCATATAATCTATTTTGCGTATAGTCAACCTTATAGCCAACTTTTGTGTAACTATGGTGACTTGAGTGATGATTTAACATTCAGAGGATTATGGAAACTTAAACACGATCTTTAAAAACGTTAAGCTAACAGGAAGACTTAAAGTGATACATGAAATAAAAATAAACATTATTTTGATGGACAAGATCTTTCATTAATGTTTCGATATCAAAATAACTATACTATTTTATACATATGTTTAATTTCATGAATATAAATTTTTCTCATTGAGTTGCGAATAGGTTTCCATTTGGTTTCTTATAATAAACTAAATTAATACTTTTATTTACTTCCTATTCTTCAGGTCGCAGACGCCTTTAAAGAAAGATACTGACGACATGCCAGATGGTGAAGAAAAAGGACCGGATATTATACCAGCAAATATAATCAATCGAGCTTATTATACAGGTAAGAACTGCAATAAAACTTAATAAAAATAGTTTATATTTACTTCAGCTTGCATAAAATTTGTAAATTCAAAAATTCTTAAAAAAACGTAAGTAGAAATTTGTGTTGCATTTCATATAAATTATTTTTATTACTTTGTTTAAATGAAATGGTAATAATGAGTGTAAATCTTTTTTCATGAGTATATGAAACACAGAACGACTATATGCAACAATGTGAAAAATTAAAAAACCTTCGCTAACATCCATGCTTAAAATACCGAAGCGCCCGTTCCCGTCCATTACCCGCCCCATCGTTTCTTCCCCTCCCAGTCCATTAACTAACGCACAAGGGCGTGTAAGGATTTCAAATGATATCCTTTCTACTTCCTAAGAAAGAAGCTTCCATTAGCCTTTTAGGGCAGGCTGCCTGCAATAAACCGATGCAATGCATTTTTGGAAACTGCACCTGCTACTACATCCTTTGGGGAAAAATGAAAACAACATCCCAGTCTCGACCGTTTCGGGCGGTTGTGGTCGTTTGAATGAAGGGACGTTTCGGGCATTTTGGCTCTTAAAGGATTAATGATTGCATTTATTTAGCTGGGTTATTCTTCCTAATCCCGAAGGGGACATGTATTTCGTTTAAGGGCATTCTCCATCCATAGAAACGTATTTCCATAAATGTCAATAAAGCTTGTTCTCATTTGTTGGTAAAGTCATATGACTAATTTTTGGTCATTCGTTGATGAATTTGGGATTTCAAAGACGTTTTGAGGCAGCACACCATCAAAATTCGAAGCAAGTAATTGTTACACATTGCGCTATTTCACCTCATATTTTCTCTTTGTGTGATGTATGAATCCATTTCTCTTACATAGCATCTAGAACGATCAAGGCTACGTCTTGAAAAGAATGGCTACTTTTATATCTTTGTTACAGAATATTTAAAGATGAGTTATCATTTGAATAAAACATATTTTCATCAATATGTTTTCATTTGAACAAACTAAATAAATGCGTTGAAAAAATTATATTTAATATGAAAAATTTTTGATGATGCATGTATATTATTCTAATTATTTTGCAAAAGTTTTATATCTGAAATATTTCAAATTTTTAAAAGAAAGAGCTCTAGGAAAATGAATGGTTATGCAACACAAAAGCGGCATTGTATTTATTGAAGAAATGCACAGGAGTTTTGGAAATGCACATTAGTATAACATTAGTATTATTCAATCAGGTTACTGGGACATATTTTACAACTAAGTAAACACAACTGTTTACAGTTTATATTACTTTACATATCTTTTAGATATTAAAACAATTTTGGTCTTTATGTCTAAATATTACTATTTTCAAATAGACGTTTATTATCTTACAGAGGGATATCCCAAAGCAAATGTTACTGTTATTATTTTTTCATCTTAAAATTAGCAAAGGAAATGTGTCTTGATGACTGTTATAATTTATTATTTGCAGCATTGCTTGTTTGCATACTGTCTTCTAAAAGAACTCGGCGTTTGATAAAAATATTTGATGGGAAGGCAGAAGCAGTGAAGTACATCGAAAACACGCTTTGGCCAACCTGTGTGTGTGTGTGTATTATGGCAAAGCCTCGAGGGCTATCTGCCTAAGAGGAGGGATGTCTTCGTGGAAGACTTTCTAAGGGAAACTGGCTCGTATACATGTTACACATGGGGAAAACCACGAAAACACCCATGCAGCCAGCCCGTTCGCGGGATTCGAACCTCGGACCGAACTACCAGTGTTCAGCGACTTTACCGCTCGGCCGCTGGTGAGCCCCTTGGCCAACCTGCAAATTTGGCTTCTGAATGTCTTCTATCATCTTGATAAGACGAATACTAACGAGATAGTATATAAGTTTTTTTTTTTTTTTTTTTTTTTTTTTTTTTTTTTTTTACCCCAAATATTAATACTTCATTTCTATTTACGCAATTGGCCAACCGACTGCACGATCATTGCTCTGAATTTGGTGCCGAATTAGTTGCTGAGCGTTTTGCTGTCACTTTCGTCAATGAGCTATTCCAAAAAATAGTTCGCATTTTACACTGAACCAATTAGTGCACTAAGAGATTTAAATAGTATTTCTTTAATTTTAATCATCCAAATTCAAAATTTAATCATCCATGAATATTATATGTTCTTGCTCAATTCCCGAATATTTAGATATAAAGAAAGCTAATTACATAATAGCAAAGTGCGCAATCATTTTGTCGAATAGGCAGGTCTCATGCAAACATGTTAGAGTGGTCATCAGGTGAAGAATCCTAAATAAATGGCAATTACTCTGAAATAATTTCAGCTTCTGAATACATTGAGAATCGTCAAACCTAAAGTATATACTGGGAGTCTACTAGAAACCAGAAATTTTGTTAACTCGTCTTAGAATTGGTCACACTGCAGTCACAAACAATTACCATTAGAAAGCCGAGAGTGAAGCTGTGTATTCAAATTATAACAGTGTGCTGTCCGCGAGCCACTTTGAAATTAAATGTCAGTATTTTAACAGACTCGAATGAAGTATTTTAGATACTAACAATTTAACTATATAATCAGGAAAGAGTTAATACAAATGTATTTTAGTACCTGAAAAAGACAGGTTTTTATTGTTTAACTTAATTTTTTTAAAATTGTTTCTTAGTATTTTAATATTATGTATTTTGATGTGTCGCATGTTTTTATTAATTTTTGCCCCTTTACACGTCTGAAATCATGATCCGAGTTTTATATAATTGTTCATCTTTGCATTCAGCTTTTTATCACTTCTTTCCATTTTAAAGGCGTGCTGTTCTTTTAAACTTGTGTTTAACTATAACGTATGCTTGTACTTAATTTGCATTTTTAAGCAAATGAAATGTGTTTAAGGCAAGTAACTTTCCTTTTTTTTTGGTGCCAGAAATTTTATAACCCCCAGCACGCACAGTTAATTTGGTTATTATATCTTCATGTCCTAAAAATAGCAACGTGGTTATAATTAATATTAATACATACCCGTCTATTTGCCTTAACACGGCAACATATATGAGGCCAATGTTAATTTCCTGATCTTCACAATTTTTATTAATGATTTGTGTATGTCTTTCATATACTTGTTCATGTGCAAACTTGAGCACACATACAAAAATAAAAATTACTATACTGTCTGTCAGTGTTAAAATTGAGATTTTTTAACTAGTACTATTATCTGATCGCACCATTCCCTGGAGAGGAAAAATTTCAGATAATTTCTAGTCTTTACACTAGATCTTCTTCTTTTGATGTCTGCATTCCCTCATAAAAACTTGCAAACTGTAATATATGAAGTTCTAGTCTGATAGCAGTGTAAGACAAAAGCTTTTCATTGAGAAAAAGTATAGCTGCTATATAACATAATATAGCTGCTTTCTGAAATAGTAATCAGAAAGTTTATGTTGCCAAAAATATTTTAATAATTTAATCCGCTTTGTGACAAAATATTTCGTCATGTTTCCACCTTGCGCGCACAGTTTAAAACGTTCTGTTGCATAATTTAATTCTATATTTAATATATAACATTTATAACATTTGGAAACTACTGTGAACCTAAAATTCTAAAAATTTCATGTTAAATTTTTATTTTATTTTGAGTTTATAAAATGTATTTTGTTAAAAAAATCTGTAATGTTTTCCTCCATAAATTTTTTCAATATTAAAATATTCATCAGATTTTTGGTTCAGTTAGAAAATGGTGCCCATATAAAGAATTCCATCCAATTTCAAGGATGTATCATTAGCCATTTTTAAAATATCATGCGCGCAAGGTGGAAACATGGCGAAATATTTTGTCACAAAGAAGATTAAATTACAAAAATATTTGTGGCAACACAAACCTTCTGGTTACTAGTTTCAAAAGCAGCAAAATTACGTAGTCAGCTGTAAAAGGTTGGAAGTAATTGCTTTTAAAATAAATAAAATATCCCAATTCTTGCAACAGTTGCATATTCGAAGATCATAAGGGGTTTAAGGTGTATGAGCTCCCTTAAAAATCTAAAGTCTGTCTTTTGCATTATCTACGCCAGTGACCATTTCGCTCACTTTAACGGAAATTAAGATGATTTATTCCATATTCTGTCAGTTATGTGCTTAAATATTTCTTTAATCGGAGAGATTTGATATCAAATATTCCCAGTTCAGAATTTTTACTGTCCACGAACTCTATGAAAAATTATATGTTAGTTTACAGAGCCATTCCGTCTCAAATATTTGATTTTACCTTAAAAAACTTATTTAAAAAAATAAGGTATCTTAAAAAGGTAACTTGAGAGCTTTAAAAATTAGTAAAATGTATTCTCTACATTTTTTAACATTTCTGAGAAATATTTCTGCTTTCGAAAATTAGGAATTAAAACATACTGGTTTCCAACAGCGATTTATAGAAATGCTAAACTTATATATTTAATATTTAACTATATTTATTTTTACACTACACTATTACCGCTTTTTATTTCAGATGAAAATGTTTTAAGTCATATAATTTTGTCAACTGTTTTCTCAGTTAACATAGATTATATTTAATTATAAGTCATCTTTTTTCAATCAAAGTTTCTAGAAAACATTATTTCTCTGTCCTGATGCACGATTCAGGGATCATAAATTTCATTAGCTTTAATGATGTGGAACAAATACATGTTTGCGACGAATATTTTTGCCGGCTGAAAATGTTTCCCAGTGTGTGCTGCTATTCTTTTTATATGTAACCTCAACTGAAAAAAGTCTTGAGCTTGCTTACAATGACGTGCAAATAATAGTAATTTATAATCTATAAAGTAGAGGACGTGACAAAAGAAGTTAAGAATTACATAATTAAAGACAGAATAACACGCCGAACAAATTTATTCTCTCATCAATAAAATTCGAGTTCCATACTCAAGGACCCCATTCCGGATATGAATTCCTGGGGTATTTATAGAATTCCTTGCCAGTGTGGTTTAATTTACATTGACCAAACTAAGAAAGCCTTAAAATGTCGCGTCAAGGAACATGAGACATATGTTAGAAAAAAGGAAACACAGAAGTCTTCTGTTGCTCAATATTGTTGGTCCGAAAATACAACTTTCAATTTTTCTGCTGCCAAAATTATTCAAAAAACATCTTCCATTGGAGAACTGGATTTTCTAGAGGCATTTCACATTCAAAAAAATCTTTCTGTTCTATTTAACGATCCTAATTCCAATCCATCTTCGCCTTCGGCCTTTAAAGAATTATGTTTTAGTTCTGGTCCCATCAACAGATGACACCACTTGCTTATTCTTGTCCAGGCTTTCTTATCTGATCTAATCATTATTTCCTATCTTGTTCATTTACGGTTTTGCAGCTGAGGATGGTGGTTCGGTAAAACCATCGAAACTAGTTCTGTGAAAATTTTGAATATAACGCTGATTTTTGTTGTTTCCCTTCTGAATTAAGGATTACATTTTAAATTTATTTTGTGGGAAAATATTTAAGAAATCTGTTAAAGTATCATAAATTTGAGAAATATTCGCTAATTAATTAATATCAATTCTTCGGCTATTATTAACAAATCTAGCTCAAATGATGAAGAAAATAACGAGAAAAGCTGCTGCTTTTATTTGAGGACAACGCTTAAATAAACATAAATAAATACGATAAAGGGTAGACAATAAATTCACAAAATTAAACGAAATCCAAGGCTTAGTTATCATCTGACACGCTTAAGATACATTTTTTTTTTTTTTTTTTATAAAACTGAAGGAAGAATGTTTGTTAAGCCGTAGCATAAGCTTTCACACCATAAAAACTATAATAAATGATAGGGTTTTACAAATTGACATAATATGCGTAGCAGCTGACAAGAGACTTAACGCCATGAGTTCTACCGGTCGTAAATAATAAATAGAAAAATCGATACACTAAAGAGACTTTAAAACAGCTTGCTGAATCAACTGGCGGGGAGCATATGTACTCAAAAAATACACATTATTTTAAACCTGTGCTTTTTAAAACTATATTAAACTATTCATATAGAAACGTGTAATATAATTATTCCCATTATTGATTCTATTTTAAATGAATTTATGATTTGAAAGAAAACACTAAAATGAGCTTATGTTTTCAGCTTAGTCTGTTATTAAAAATAAAGGTGTTTTTCTAGCGGATTGTTCAAATGGTTTTCTTGTCAAAATATAGAGAAATAACACTGCGTTTAAATTTTAGTTTTAAATCTGCATAAAACAAAATTTTAGTTTCTAGTATTGCAGTTGAAGGACAATTTAGATGTTTGCTCTGTAACAATATGAAAAAGATACTTTATAATTTTATACTGCATCTTAGTACTGCAACCATTTGTAATTTTGTGCTGCATCCATTTATAATTTTGTACTTCATCCATTTATAATTTAGTACTTCACCATTTATAATTTTGTACTTGACCATTTATAATTTTGTACTGCATTAATTTATAATTTTGTACCGTACATTTGTTAACTACAGAAGTGAAGATTAAAAATAACATTTTAACCCGGCGGAAGGCGCACCAAGAAAAGTTACTAGAACGGGCGCGTGGGGTATCACATACCCCAATATTTAAAATACAATAAAAATAGTATTATTTAATTTTAAATTTTTTTTTGTTCTCGTGTATTATAAATAAGTGAATAATAATTGGGTTTCAAAAAATTAATTTCCGAAATAATCTTAGAGTTAAAATTAAGATAAATGAAAATAATAAAAAAATAAACATCATGCCTCTAAGTTTTCATTGCATCTCTAATACACCATGCTTTTTTTATTTCTTCACACTTTGAACGAAATACATTCATGTGTTCTTGGCACAGAATGTTTTCACATTTTAAACATTGCATTCACGTTTTTCTGTCCTTGGCGCGAGGGCAAAAAAAAATTTAACACATCTTTCATACGTAGTTGTTTCTAATTTCATGTATTCGTTTTTTAATTCTTCATCGAAACTTCTGCTTTTGTTTTGCATGCAGTACGTCAAGTTTCTTGGATAAAGTATTAATCTCTGATCTTTTGTTCAATACTTGTTTTTTCATTAATTGTAATGTTAAGTCCTTTCAAAAACAGACATCTGACTTCTGTTTCTTGTTGGTGGATTAGCAGTTGAATGTAATATAATTCAAGCATTTATTACAGCAAACATTCAGTGCAGGAAGGAAAATTACCATTGGCCACATTCTCGTTATTCTGGCAATTGAATAATTGGCTGACATTTCATCCTCCATATCCACTGCTCCTTTAGTCATATTATTAAAACATATAATTCCTAACGTTTTATTTTCTCCAATAGTATCATCTATATTTCGATCGTTATATAACGTTATAATGTTATAATGATCGTTATATAAAGCATAAGAACAGTTTTTCCTTTTTTAGGAACATCAGGAATTAATGTTTTATCTTTTTCGAAACCAAAACAGCGTAGAAAATATTCTTAGTTTCATCTTCAGTTTCCGAAATGCAGTCTTCATCGCTTTCAAATATTTCTAATAAATCTCGCATGCGTTGCATCTCCAGTTCATATGGACTCATTCTTTTTACCATAATGCAGTTAGAAATTTTTAAGAATTTAATGTCAAGTACTTTAAAATCACTTGCGAGTAAAAATATTTATTGTTACACTCTAGATGTTCACTTTTATGTTCTTTTATGTTCAGCATTTTAAAATAACTATCCTCTTTTGCATAATCATGATATTAACCAAACAGGGAGAAACGAAATTAAGATTTGTTTCACTACCATAATTATAATCTGAAATATGAAGTCTATATTGTTATAGTGTTGTAACAGAACAGTTTCTAAGCTCAAATTTAAATCTGTGATATTTATTTTTGAAACCTAAAAATCTGAATATTGCTTTATAACAGAAATATATTTGTGTGATAAGTTTTAATTGATTTAATACATCATTTTATCATACACTAAAGCTTTCTTAGTTTAATATTTTTTTCAGTCCCTTCCATAACATTCATGATCTTGTATTGTGCTGCTTTTATATTTTGTTCAGAAATTTCCCATGTGATATATAATGAAAAAAAAAAAAAAAAAAAAAAAAAAAAAAACAAGTAAATTACTCTAAATATAATGAAGAATAATTTAATAAAATCTTTCAAAAAGGTGCTGTAGTTACCTAGAACAAAATTATAAGATTAAAATACTCAGTTTAATTAGTTACAATGCAGAAATACCTCTTACATTAGGTAAATTGTTATAAAATTAGTTACAGTGTAGAGAAATAGTATTTCATAATTAATTAAATGAGAAATATTCATTATTTAATTAACGAAATAAGACTTAAACATAATATTTGTTTGAATAATTAAATTAAAAGCAAAGGTTATTATTAAAATATAAAACAGCAATAATGAAAATAATATCTTTTAAATACCAAGATGCATTCTTTCACGAAGACAAATAATTTTACGTTACAGAACTTAAAGGATTTTCTATCTTTAATATCCGTGAAAAGGAAATTTCTTTTATCTTTCCATTATCGCAAAATATTAGCAGCTGTTAAGAGCAGTAAATTTTTGTACTTAACAGTTGTGTAAATTATATGTGTATTAAAAGATAACTAAAGATTATTAATTAGGTATATTACAATTATATTCGCTTTATTCTGAAATAAAGTTGCGCTTTAGAAGCCTTTAAGCCGTTAGTAAACTTGATCTGCTTCTTTAAACTGTAGCTTGATTTATATTATATATAAGCTACTTGATGCTTTATCGCATTTTAAATCGTAAAGTGTCTTCAGAGCGAAGATATACTTGCAAATTAGACTCATGTTCATTAAAGAAACACCATTTAGCTTAATAGGTTTAGTAATGTAAAAGTAAGTTTATCTTTTCTAATTTGTTCCAGATTCAAACATACTTCTTTTTGACTGTAATTTGTTACCAATCCAGTATATGTAAAATTTAATGTTGTTCATTTCTTTAATGTGAAATTTTATGTGCCATTTTTATTTTGTAGAAGATCCAAAGGAAAGCTCACCATCGGGAAGCGCCATCACCAGTAGAAGGTGGCCAGAATCCCCTCCACATGAAACTTTAGAAACATCATTAACCACTTCTACGTATCGAAAGGTAAGCTCAACTTTGCTATCAATTATCTAATCTATTGTTGCATGTTCGTTAGATTAAATTCACAGAAACCGATGATAGCTTGATAAAATTAGTTTTACCAAAAGGAACACTTCAGAATCCTGGAACTTTCAACAAAAAATAATCGAACAACTCTTCATGATATCACAATCAGAAAATCATTAAATAACCAGCACAGTCAGTGAATACACTTCAAACTACTAAGAACTTTAAACACCACACAATGCAAAGCGCATCTAATGGGCGATGCTGTCTCGGATATCTCAAAACTCCAACTTCAGCTCTGAGCTAACAACTAAAAGCTACTGATGCCTTCTGCGGTCTTATTCAGTTTTCCTCCAGCCGCAAAGAAATCTGTGGTTTTTCTGCTTTTTGAAATTACTGGAAGGCATAGGAAGCCCGAATGTGGTTACAGCTAACACAGGAATCAATTTGAGTTATTTAATTACAACATCTATTGCAGTTATAGAGGAACCAGACAAAAGCGTCGCCGAATTTAGAGAATTTTGGCGATTTTTCGCCAAATTTGGCGTCAAATTAAAAACTAAAACAGCTTGGCGATATCTCGCCAAACTAGTGAAACAGCTATTTACTCAATGTTAAATAGACTTGCCCCTGTATTCTTATTTTTTTGGTAGATCATTGTTTTCCTCAACCTTTCAGATTACTTTACACAGAAAAATACAACATTTCACAGATAATTTCACTAAATTATCTATCTATATACAAAATTCGTAGCGCTATTATAGACTAATGACGTACATTTTTTTTTGGGGGGGGGGGGGGTTATTCAGTTTACTTAGGAATGGCTGCTAGAAATTTTAATGATAAGACCACAATATTATATTTGGTAACTTACTCGCTGATTAATTTTAATTAAATTACCAATTAAAGCTCAAAATGCATTCAATAAATATTTAAAAGTTTAGTAACGTCAGCATTTATGAGTATGATGTTCAAATAATTAACAGATGAACAAGCTACTAAAGTTGACAATTCAAGAATTTATAAAAAATTAAAAGATGCGAATGAGCATTTGTTTGAAATTATATTAATTTATTATGGAGCACAAAGCGCTGCTTTCGATATACAGAAAAATGCTCTGACAAAAACAAACAAATTTAAACTAGCTACTTGACAATCCACACAGCGGCTCGAAACATCATTCAATTCGTTAAACCTAACTCACTCATTATATTTAGGAAATTTCATTTCAAACATTACGAGAACTGACGTTATTTTCTCAGAAATGTTTGGATAAATAAGCGATATCAAACTGGAATAGGAAAAAAAAGCACAATTTGCTTTGCATATTCGAGAGTGGATGCTTGTGAATAGAGAAATTATTTATCTACTGCTCGGTTTTCAAATATCTATAGCTTTCATATTTGCACAAAGTACTACCTTTATTTCTTTGTTGGGCAGTCTTAGGAAAAGAATTTAAAAAAAATCACGGCTAAATAAAGTGAATGACTTAGAGTTAATAGTTACTAATGAAATCAAAACGAATACGATAATATGCCGATTTAAAAATGTAAAAAAATGATGACTTGAAAAATATCTGAAAGTTTCAGATTTTAAATTACGTCCAAAGGGGCGCGTTTTTTTAACGTTTCGTGTGTTACCTTTATTTATTAAATATCATGTTTACTCACTTAAGCCATAGAATTGAGTTCAAGAGCAATATCGCAAAATAAATTTAAAATAAGCATATCTTTAGAATTTTCGATGCAGTCTCACGCGCTGGAGACAAAAATGTTTTTCCCGTACAGTGTTGCCATTGCTCTCTTTGAAACCCTTGAGTTTGTTAATCAAAAATTCGTTAAAGGTTTACAAAACATAAAATCAATAATAAAACAAATTCCAAATTTCATATTTGAGCTTCCAGATGCGCATATTCGCAGAAGGCTAGAGCTATTATTCAAAATTTAGTAACTCTAGGTACCGTTGTTTTATCACAATGCGAGAAACATACCTACAGTTATGCAGATTCTTCATTATTTAATATATTTAAATATAATACAGGGCGATGATATTTGGTGGCAACAATTTAAAAAGTGAAATAACGCTTGTAGTTAATCGACGCATAATGCCAAAACAAAGTTAATAGTCCTTCTGGGGAAATAGTTCCTTTGGATTAATAAATTAAAAAAAAAAACTGCATACAGTACTCATACCGGAATATAGAAAATTCCGTTTGGCACATAATTTAATTGCATATGTAATCGAATATTCCATTTCTCATCAGTTCTGTTCATTCGTTTCTAAGACTCTGTTCAGACCGGTGGTATAAATGTCATAACTGCTTTAAGTCGAGCTTCATTGCTAGGTAACCAGACCTTGCTACGTCACAAAAACTGGTTTAGGAGTTTTTCGCATAAAGTTTAAAGTTTTCAATCTTATACAGACTTTGTATAAGATTCGACCATTCAGAGCGAACGCGGAAAACCTGTTCAGCAGGAAAGAGTTTGGAAAAGCTGCAGACGCATCCACACATGCGCAAATTTAGTTTATCTTATTAGTTACGGCTTAGACTCTGTCTCGCAGGTGGGAGTGGAACTCCCGTTTTTTATGTCTTATGACTAAGCATCTGGGAAAAGCAAAGGAATAATAGAATTAACCAATGCAAGAGAGTTTTCGTTATATTAACGTAGTTTCCTTCCCTTCAGCAAATATTTCAATTTATCAGTAAAACGAATAATTAAAATTAATACCTCTTGCATGTATATTATAAAGTTAATCATCGTCAGTCAAAAAATATTAATTTTTTTAATTAAAATATTATATTCTTAAATTTCCTGCAAAAACAGCTTGAAATCAAGCATATTTTTTAATTAATATGTTATTTTAAAATTATTGAAAGCATAAATTTCACGATGGTGGTAATAGGACGAAAATTATGCTCTCTTTCACTTTAAACCTTTAAAACCTATATAAAGTCTACCATTTGAAAGTTGAAAGTAATGTATAATTTAAGAGTGAACTTTATTAGTTCAGATATTAAAACATACATTATGACAGATTCATATATAATGGCACAGACAGATACGAAAATAGTATAAGAGTAGGAGTAAGTATTAAACAAATGTCAGAGCGTAATATTGGATAAACAGGTTCTAAATATTTATCCAAATTTTAGAATCTGCATTTAAGTACACAACAAAGATTTCTCTAGTAAATAAATGTGCAAATAACAATGGCTTGTTCACTGGCAAACTATCCTTTCAAGTAAATAATATTTAGCACGTGCAAAGAAGAAATGATAAATGTCATTGCTTAAAATAAATGATACATGATAAATGTCCCCACTTTATTAATACATTTTCAGAGTAGGTGGAAATCCACAAAACGTAATGAATTTCGCAAAGCTTACGAACAATTTGATTTCTTTAGTAGTTGGTATTATGATTTAAGCCATTACTACGCAAGTAAGTTATGTTAAATATAAAACCTGCAAAAGAGGGAAATTTGCGGTTGTAAATCAATCTAAACCTTAGAAATGTATGTATACATGCTTCTTATTTGACATTTACCTCTTTTTGAATTATATAGTAATTTTATTAAAAAATAAAATTAAGTCTATTATTTTTCTTCTTCAGAATTTGGATTTTTGAAGTAAGATTCGCACTATCTTTGAAATTTGAGTTAGCTGCATAAGCACGATAAAGTGCTTATTTTTGAGGTGAATATAAATTACAATATTCTGCATCAAGTTGAAATAAGTACTCTCTGTTCAGTCGGTGTGGTTTCACCGATGGCTGAAAGATAAAGTATCTGAACACTGGTAATTTGATCTGTGTTCAAATCTGGACAAGCGGGATGACGTTATGAGCATTCCAGTGGTTCTCTTATGTATAACATAATTTGAGGAAGTTTTCATTCCAAAGTCACCCACGAAGGCTTCTCTTCCCTTAGGCAGATAGCCTTCGCTTGCTTTGCATTAATCACGTAAAATAATCATAATTTTTTTTTCATTTGCTTTAGGCGCTAAATATTTTTGAAACTTAACAGGTTGACAATTTAAATAGGCAGATTATTCGAATATGACAAAGCAGATATATCTGCTTAAGGGGAGGGACACCTTCTAAGCAAAACATTTTAAACGGATATTTTTCTAAAGCAAACCGCCGCGTATTCACGCTGCACATGCGGAAAAAACAAGCACGCCAGCCATGCACCACAATCACTTGCATGGATTTGAACCCGGCTGCAACTATTAGTATTCAGCGGTCCTAACCACTCGGGTACAAATGGAGCGAGGTTTAACATGGCTGTTTTGTGACTGTTCCTGAAAAATACTACTAATGAGCAACCTAAAATATGGTTTTAATTTATTTTTTGACATTTTAAATATTTTATTAAAATAACTACAAATTTCTGAACCAGATCTACCTTTCAAAAGAGATTCCTCTAGTTCATAGGTATTTGAAAATGTACTGTAATTATGATTTAACTGATTCACAGCGAAGTCGCCCGAAACGCCCGAGCAATCAGGCTTCCCGAATGCCTGCATCTATTTTATACCTAATGCTGTACCTCATCAGGTTAGTGCATGCCAATCATTCTTTTGAAGCGACTAAAAGTAGCTCTGTTATTTGAATGCACCTTTCCTCTCCTTTGTTTAGCGTCAATGTTTAGCTATTAATATTCGCACTTGCTACCCTGTCTTAATGATAAACTGCATGCAGTGGGTGAAACCGCACCAAGATCCCCAGAAAGAAGTAATCACTCCACATATGTAGGTTATTGTTAACACTGTAGCATTCTACATGGCATAGGGGAAGAAAATCCATTCCAACAAAAATTCCTATATACGGGGGTTTCAGATGTTCCAGAGAAATAGATTTTGGCCTCTACCGATGCAAAAGATTTAAAAATATTTAATTTAAAAATTGGTTTTACTACATTTTATCTACATACAGTAAATCGTAGCAAATTATGTCTGACTAGTTCTGTAATTAAAATAGTTTTAAAACTTACTG